ATTTTAAGCAGAAACCTTCAATCCCCTTCAAAGTACTCTCCACTTACACTAATACACTTGTCTAGTCTTTTATTCCATTTTTCAAAACATTGTCTAAATTCATCTTTTGAGATGCTTGACAGCGCCTCCATCGTTTTTTCCTTTCATGTCTCTTTTCATTCGAGGAAACAAAAGAAAGGCGCACGGGGCAAGGTCGGGTGAGTATGGAGGGTGAGGAACAGGGGTCATACCATTTTCGGTCAAGAATTGTCGTACAGACAGGGCTGTGTGAGCAGGGGCATTGTCATGATGGAAAAACCAGTCACCCGACTGCCACAAATCTGGCCGCTGAGCTCCAAGTCACTCCCGACAGCTCCACAATTTCTTCAATGGTCCGACGTCGATCTTCTTTGATGATTTGACGAATTTTTTCAACATTTTCATGTGTTCGGGCCATGGAAGGACGACCGGAATGAGGTTTGTCATCAACTGACATTTCACCATTTTTGAAATGGGAAAACCACTCAAACACTTGAGTTTTCCCCATAGCATCGCCCTTGTACGCCGTTTTTAACATTTCAAGAGTTTCTGTTCCACTTTTCCCGAGCAAAAAGCAGAATTTCACCACCGCACGCTGTTCACGAAAATCAGCCATTGCAAAAACGACGATCACACAAAACAGTTGTCTCTATAAACTCTGCCGAAACTAGTCCTTAACCTTCTGAAGCAACGGTAGTCGGCTTATCGACTCAGGAATGTTAGCTCTATGCGCTCATAGCGGCAAAACATGGTACTACAAAAGCTCTGCCCACAAAGAAATTAGTTCGCTTTCTTTTGGGTACCCCATCATAGTGTCTATAATAGTAGAGGAACATGCATTTGTCAATGCAATTTTCAATGTGAATTGAAGTTATAGCTTTCAGAATCAGAAGAAGAATATACTTTGTAACATAATGTGTGTATCATACTGCAATTGCAAAACCTTATACATCAGTTATTCTGAACCCATGTTATAGAACTGTGATGTGTTTTAATATCAGAAATAAACATTTAGCTGTGTGTTCACAGTACAAGTAGTTCATTTGTACCATCTTCTTGTCATTTTTATTGCACTTTTCTTTTCCTACCATTGGTATTTGTAACAAATAAAATGGTGTTAACATTATTATGTCACTGTTCAGGAATGATTTAAAAGTAACCATATCCATAAAAGATGTAAATAATAGGTACAACTTTATTTTTCTTGAGTTGTAAGCTTCAAGAATATTTGCACTACAATAATATTTATAATGCATTGCAAGAAAAAAGAAATATTACACAAACAGAACAAATATACACAACAGAAGACAACACTGCTGTTATGTGTTTACCACATTAATCTGTCCCTTTCCCTAGCAGAAGACTTAATTCACTTATCAGCTGCATTTAAATTTAATGGAGCAGGGTAGTTCCAGTTAAAGAGATGATAGAAAGGAACTTTCATGGTATCTAAAGTTGTGTACCATGTTATCCATGAGCATATAGTTGGACATTCTTGGTAAGATATTTTTGCTTTTCCTTAAAATGTGTGATATGTTTTTAATAATTGTTGTTTGTTTACATTTATGATCAAATCTGCTTATTTCTTGTCCGGTGTATTGTTATATACAAGGTGAAAATAAATATATATTACAGCGCTCTGTGGTAGATAAATGGCTTCAGTGTGATCATATTTTCTTAATATACCCATATCTGGAAACCCTTCTTTTTGGCACTAATGGTCAAAAGTTTCCAAGAGAATGCCTAAGTTGTATGGATGTTATGATTGTTTTACATTATAAAAGTTGCTCAAAATGGCAGCTGCTGACTTCATTGCATGTTCTGCACTGCCTGGCTGTGTTATGCTGAGCTCACTGAAAGATTCTCGGCATTTCCTGGATGGTTCCAGCTGCTACTGCATTTCTTGCCACAAGATCATATTGTGTCTCTACTGGAGTCTTGTACACCAGGCTTTACATGTACCCCCAGAGAAAGAAATCCAATGGAGTCAAGTCAGGGGAGCAAGGGGACCACGTTAGTGGGCCTCCACGTCCAATCCATCTGTTGCCAAAGGTTTCATCCAAATACTCACGGGCAACATTAGTGCAGTGTGCTGGGGCACCATCATGCTGGAACCACATTTCACGACATACTTCCAAAGGCACCAATTCCAGCAGCTTGGATAAGGTATCTTGGAGAAATGTTAGGTAAATGTCACCAGTAAGCTCCAGAGGTCAGATGTAAGGTCCAATTAGATGGTCACTGATAACTCCTGCCCACACATTGATGGTGAAGCGGTGTTGGGAGCTTCAGATATGCTTTGCTTTAGGATTTTCTTGAGCCCATACATGGCTGTTTGTGGAATTGAAAATGCTGTCCTTGGTAAAGGTCCTCCTTCACATTTCAGAGGCCTTAGCTTGTAAACAAAGCGTTTCCGAACATGGATGCATGAACAAAATATGGTCACATTGAACCCATCTATCTACCACAGAGCATTGTAACATATGCAGAATGTCCCAGGAGTTTGGTGTCATACTTCAGGAGTGTACTGAGGGTTCCCTATTGAATAACTTTGAAATAGGATCCCATGTCCGCAAACGTAAAATAGCAGCACTAGGGTGGCATTTAAAATCATTTCATTTAAACTTGGCGCCTCAATGTCGAACTGCATTGCATAGAGGAACAGCCATCCATCAGTACTCGTGCCATTTCCAAGATTGTGGGGACATCAAAATCAAGTGTTTGTAGGATCCTGCATGACCAACAACTTTATCTGTATCATCCATCGCGAGTACACAATGTAGGTCCAGCTGACTTCGTACGACAAGTTCAATTTTGTCAGTGGATACTGAACCAGTGTTTACATCAGCCCAACTTCTTGAATCACGTGTTATTCACAGACGAAGCTCAGTTTACAAATGATGGCTGGTTCAACTGTCGAAACAGACACGTTTTGCCTAACGAAAACCCCAACATTACTGTAGATGGTTACCACCAGGTGCAATTTTCTGTAAGTGTCTGGGCAGGCATCATTGGCGATCACTTGATTGGGCCTTTCCCCCTATCACCACGACTTAAGGGGCCCTTTTACAAGGTGTTCCTGGAACGTATCCTTCTAACTTTGCTAGAAGATGTGCCACTGATTGTGTGGAGGCAAATGTGGATACAGCATGACAGAGTGCCGGCACACTTCAGCATTGTATCACGAGACTACCTGGATGCTGCTTTTCATGGTCATTGGATAGGAAAAGGAGGTTGAGTGCCTTGGCCACCCCACTGCCTAGACTTGACACCTCTGGACTATTTTGTCTGGGGCCATGTGAAAAAGCCTGATCTACGACACGCCTGTGGATAAGGAATTCGAGCTGTTGACCAGAATACCTGTTGCATGTGACATGATCCATGAGACATCTGGAATATTTGAAAGGGTGTGCCAAAGTTTCTTTCGTCGACGTAACGCATGCATTGAAAATGGAGGGTGCCAATTCCAACATCTACTCTAGCAGGTGAGTCTTAAAGAGTTTGGAGGGGGTAATATGCCTCTGCACGCTCTTCAACATTGAGGCGCCAAGTTTAAACCAAATGTTATTAAATGCCGCCCTAATGCTGCTATTTTATGTTTGTGGACATGGGTTCCTATTTCAGAGTTGTTCTGTAGGGAACCCTCAGTATGCTCCTGAAGTATGGCACCAAACACCTGGGACACTCTGTATTTATTTACACTCTGTATACTTGTCACTAGTTGTACGCTAAGCAAGTGCCTGAGATGTCTTGCCCTTCTTGGCTGGCCATCCATCACACAAGAGTAGATCACAGCTGTAAATGTTTCAAAGAGTTATTTCTTTTAGGGGAAAGTAACATTGAGTCAGTAAGTGAAGATCTATTTCAGTTTTAGACAATGTTATACCAAAAGTTTTCTCACTTGTTAATCTAGATTCCCCCTCCCCCCATTTGCTTACCTACTTGTATAGGTCTGGAAAAAGAATGTTGAAAAATATTTTAAGTCATAAATATTAATCTTTATAAACAACATGAGTCATGTTTGTCTCTCCTTTAGCAATGTTGTCAGGTGCAAGGGTGGCCAGTCATCCCTTTCTATTTTGTCTCTGTGGTACTGTTACAAATCATACGTATTCTTTTTGCAGATGTAAGCTTCATGTTTGTCAGCAGTTGAAGATCATTACAGTGTAGTGATTGAATCCAGTTCATTGTGTTCTGTAAATTCACAGCTTTGACTATTTTTAATATATCCCCACCCCTTTTAAATTATGTTTTCAATGATATAAAGGACACCCAAATGACACAAATATTGTCAAATGTTTTTCACTTTCCTATTCTGTGTAGAAAAACTCTATCTGAAAATAGATCCCTGATGCATTGTGTATGTATCTTGCTTTTGAAATGCAGAATAGAAAGAAATATATGAAGAATGCCATCTTCTGGGATGTGGCACTATGTACATCTTGTGTGAACTGATGTTTCAGAGGACTGTATTGTCTCCATTTTCAGTTGGCAGCCACCTGCTATCACTGGTTCCTTGCTCACAAATTTTTGTACCCTGAAGATGGAGGTGATATGTTCCTCCAAAATATCGGTTCACACAAGATCTACACTGTGCAACATCCCAGAAGACAGCATTCTTCATAGTCACCACTATGAAAACCTGAAATCTTACAAAGTATATTATATGCTTTCAGGTGTATTCTGACAAGGCTAATAAAAAGAAGAGAGAACAAAGTAATGTGAATAGAGAATTTGACAGAAGAGTAACAGGAGAGTCAAATGATTGTGGTAGATCAATATTTCCTGATAGTTGCAATGCACACTGTCAAGTTGATGACTCATCCTATTCAGAGCCTCCAAAGAAACAGTATAAATTCGAGGAAGATAGTGCCAGGTTTGATGGTTTGCTGTCCAAATCCTCAATACCTGGCCAGCTGGATGTTGTGATTGAAGAACGAAACACAGCGAACAATAGATCTGTGGTGAAAAGTGAAGTAGTGACAGTTGAGTGTGATCCAAATGTGATCTTAACATTTCCAGGCAATGATGATAATGCTCTAGATCTACTATCATTAGCTGTGAGTGATAAAAATAAAGGGCCCATCATAAAATCAAAAACTAACAGTGGGAAAGATGAAAGTGACCTGTGTCTGCAAAAGCATGCGGGAAAAAATGATTCTAAAGTGAGTACGTTGACATTCTGGGAAAGAGAAAGATCTGGGACAAAATTGCCGGTGTTGTCTGGAAACAGTGGGACAGAAGTAAACTTACCAACATTCTCTGAAAATGGTGTACGGATATCTGAAAATAACAGATGTGAGATAAATCCAGTTGCTTACTCTAGGGATAATGTGTCTGCAGTAAATCCACCATCTTGCTCTGGAATGAACGGACCACATCCAGAGCCACATGTGTGTGGTGAAAGTAACAGATCTGGAATAAATCCATCAATTTACTCTGGTGCGGGAATTAATCCATCAGTTTATCTTGGGAATAGTGAACTTGGGATACATTCATCTGCTTACTCTGGGAACAGTAGCATAAATTCAGCATCTTACCCTGTGTATAATAGACCAGGATATACTTCACCTCTGTGTCCTGGGAATAATGTACTTGGTATAAACTATCTGCCTTTCTCTGGAAGTGATAAGTCCGAGTTAAATCCATCTTATTCTGGAAATGATGGAATGGGAATAAATTCCTTGACATTCTCTGGGAATAGACGTACAATGATGCCACTAACATATTATGGGAATGATGCATCCGTAATAACTCCACAGACTTATTCTGGGAATGGGCCAAAAGAAAATTCATTAGCTTATTCTGGCAGTAATAGCTCTGGGATAAGTGTACACACTTATCCTGGGAATAATGAATCTGGAACAAATACTTTGACATACTCTACTAACAATGGACCTTCATTGTCTTATTGTGGCAACAAAGGATCTGTGGTAAATTCACAACCTTACCCCACAAACAGCAGAGACATGTTGAATTCACAGAGTTACACTGTAAATAGTGGACCTGGGATTAGTTCTTCATCTTATTCTGGTAACACTGGACTTGGAATGAAGTCACCAGCTTATCATGAAAACAGTTCTCCATCTTATTCAGGCAACAGTGAATCTGGCTTGAATTCAGCTGCTTACTCTGGGAATAACGGATCTGGAGTAAATCACATGCGGTTCGTAGGGGGCAGCTCATTTTCTGGGAGTGAAGTGGCTCAGCAGTATGAAGTACTACAGAGCTATTGTGGAAATAGTGAATCCAGAATAGATAACACGTAAGTAACTAAGGCAGAATACTGCTTGCAAGTTAGCTGAACTGGTAATGCTTCTTATTTATATTTGGGAGGTGACAGGTTTGAATCTCAGTGGGAACACTTAACTATTCTAAGGTTTTCAGAGTTTTACTCAGCCCCTTCAAGCAGATGCCAAAATTGTACCTCAGTTTGGACTGTGACCACTTTGTATCACATCCTTTCCAATTTATTATTCACTAATCTACCTAGGGGCACATGGTAGCGTATTTGGTTGAGGCATTATGTTACAACCCGGAATGTCATGGGTTTGTGTCCTAATGAGGTGGATTCTTTTTTTTTTTCAATTTACCTAAACCATCCAGCTGCACAATGGGCCCTGGGGTCAACTCAGCCTCTTAACAGAAATGAGTACTAGGAATCTTCCTTAGGGGCAAAGAATGGCTGGCGCATAAGTCTGACAGCCATACCACCATCTGTGAGCCAGTTGTATAGACAAAATATGGGACCATCACAGCCTCTTGCAAGGATAG